GGGAGGTTATCCTCCCCCTTTACTCTGCCCTGGTGAGGCCACATCTGGAACATTGTGTCCAGTTCTGGGCTCCCCGGGTCAAGAAAGACAGGGAACTACTGGAGAGAGTCCAGCGGAAGGCTACAAGGATGATGAGGGGACTGGAGCATCTCTTGTATGAGGACAGGCTGAGAGAGCTGGGTCTGTTTAGCCTGGAGAAGCGAAGACTTGAGAGAGGATCTTATCAATGCTTATAAATATCCAAAGGGTGGGTGTCTAGAGGAAGGGGCCAGACTCTTCTCAATGGTGCCCAGCGACAGGACAATGGGCAATGGGCACAAAGCGGAACACAGGAATTTCCATCTGAACATGAGGAAAAACTTCTTTGCTCTGAGGGTGACCGAGCACTGGAACAGGCTGCCCAGAGAGGTTGTGGAGTCTCCTGCTCCGGCAACATTCAAAACCCACCTGGACATCATCCTGTGCAACCTGCTCTGGGTAAACCTGCTTTAGCAAGGGGTTGGATTAGATGATCTCTGAGGTCCCTTCCAACTAGGACTATTTGGTGATTCTGTGATTCACAATGCAGATAAAACCATTAGAAGCACTGGGCCAAGGCTTCTGGTGTTCGACCAACTCCTGCAGTGGAGTCGGTGGGAGCCATCTCTACTCCTGTTGCAGGGAAGCTGGCCCTTCCCGCGATGTCTGGGACATGACTGGATGGAACACAGCCCTCAGGTCTGGGTCACTCAAGGATCTTTCCTTAGACATCAAAGCAGCAGCCAGAGAAAGAGAAGATGGGAAGGATGGGAAGAACACCCATAGGTGTTCTTAAAGACAGATGACTTAGAGCTTCCATACTTGACAGCTTTATTCTTCATCCTCAGTTTTAGGGCAAATACTTCTTTTTTAACACAAAGGCCAGATGACAGCTGTGGTCATTCTCAGCCTTCCCAGGGAGGCACTTTGAACTTGGACAGATTTCTAGCACAGCCCTGAGCAAAGGCTGACTACCAGCAAGTCTGTGCTTTGGAGAAGTTCCTTTTCCTTCCCTGGTTGCTGGAAAGAGAAATTTACTCCCAGATTATCCAGCTCATCTCATGCTTCCACTTGGCTGGGATAGCTGGCATGTTCAGCTGTGCCCAATCCTTGCCATCTCCAGCACCTAAAACTAGCATAGATCCTAAAGATCCTCCTGGTAAACCACTGTCTCAGATAAATCATAGAATAATGGTTTGGGTTGGAAGGGACCTTCAAGACCATCTAGTTCCAACCCCCCCACTGCCATGGCCAGGGACACCTTCCACTAGACCATGCTGCCCAAAGCCCCATCCAACCTGGCCTTGAACACTTCCAGGGATGGGGCAGCCACAACTTCTCTGAGCAACCTGTTCCAGCGCCTCACCACCCTCACAGATTATATCTAATCTAAATCTCCCCTCATTCATCTTAAAGCCATTACCCCTTGTCCTATCACTCCATGACCTTGTAAACAGTCCCTCTCCAGCTTTCTTGTAGGCCCCTTTAGGTACTGGAAGGCTGCTCTAAGGTCTCCCCGGAGCCTTCTCTTCTCCAGGCTCAACAATCCCAACTCTCTCAGCCTGTCTTCATAGGAGAGGTGCTCCAGACCTCATCATCTTTGTGGCCTCCTCTGGACTCTCTCCAACAGCTCCATGTCCTTATGTTGGGGACCCCAGAGCTGGACGCAGTACTCCAGGTGGGGTCTCACCAGAGCAGACTGGAGGGGCAAAATCCCCTCCCTCGACCTGCTGGTCACACTTCTTTTGATGCAGCCCAGGACATGGCTGGCTTTCTGGGCTGCAAGTGCACATTGCTGGCTCATGTTGAGCTTCTCATCAAATGCCTACATGCACTTAACCAACACCCAACGATGCTAGGTTGGTTCACATTTATGCCTCAGCAGGATTCACGCACCATCTCCCCCAGCCCTGAGGGGATCTTCAGAACCTGCCTACTGGATCAGGCCTCAGTCAAAGGTGTGTTTGCATAAGTCCACCCTCCAAAGCTCAAACGTTCTCTGCCAAGCTTGCTCTACTGTCTGCAAGGAGGGGAAGAGGACCGAGCTAATGAGGGCAATACATCAAATCACAGCACTTAAATCTGTCACAGCCAATTTGCAGGAGACCCAGTATTCATGCCTCGTCAGCCTAAGTCATCCTCATGGATTTTGCCCACTGTCTGTGCCCTGCTTAGCCCACGTGAAGTCTGCTGTACTTAACTGAGTAAACTATTAAATGTAAAAATGCTTTTGTTTGTATTTTGCATGTTTCCCTTGGGCAGAGGAGAAAGGAGAAGTTAGGTAAGTCAACACAATACTGAAATTACAGCAAACAAATAAAAATTTTCCATGTAACCCATCTTGGCAGCAACATGCCGTGAAAAGCAAACAGTTAGAAGGACTTGCTAAAGAAAAGAAACAGGTGATTTTAAACCAAGACCAATTGTAATCAGCAGCATTTTAGCTCATTGACTCTGGCTGCTGCTATTTCCCACCTGCTGTTCTGCCAGTCTCTTCTGGATTTCTTGGTCATCACAGATGTCATAAACAACAGGCTTGGAAAGCTCAGACTCAATCCGGGCCAACCAGGTGCGAAGGTTACTCATGTTTTTGTCCAATAATTGTATAAAAGCAAATGTTTCCTTCAGTTTCTTCACCCTAAGCAAACCAGGAAGAACATTTTGTTACAAAGATCTGCAATCAGTGGAAATGATGTCAGCAGAAGGTGATGACAGGCATGGCTTTAATGAAGCACTTACTGGTGCATCAAGCTGTTGCCTGTAAATCAGAGCCATGTTTTAGTCAAAACCTACCTAAATTGGCTCAGTGGGCCTCTACTCTACAGTTGCAGGAAGGTCTTGTGTGAATTCTTTAATGAAACTATATGAGCAGAGGGAATTTTTGTAGCCATGTTCATCTGTAAGTGAGCTCTTCAGTCAGTTCTTGGACATTTGTCTAAACAGGAGTTTGTACCATAACACACCGCAGTTAAAGCAAAATGGGTATCTATAGTCTGATTTTTCTGCTGTGAATTACGTTCAGTGTCTTCTTCAGGAATCAACAAGCCCACCCTAATCAGCAAGGTACCGCTCCACCAACGGCGGTAGAATTTGCCCAAACCACAGATCCAGCACCGTGGGCAAATGGATGCTGACAGGAGAGGAGAAGGCCTGAACAACTGCCACTGTAGAACTTACAGTGCTAAGATGACATTAAAAGCTCTTCTAAATAACACACTGAAATGTGCAGAAATATGCCACTCTCCTGGTGGGTGAAAATGAAAAAAATAATCTCAGAGAGGGAGAATAGCCAATGGTTAGAGTGAGTTGTGTAGCAGACAAGCAAATGAACCATAGAGACCATTTACTTTTCTTACAGCTGTTTGTAGCACAGCCCTCAAACTGCAAACTTTTTTTTACTTCCAGCCTTTACAGCATATTCCCATGTCAAAACCCGTTATCAGCCCCTCAAATTATCCAAGTAGCATGTTTGTATGTTTTAGCAAATTTGTCCCCACGCGTTGGAAGAATATCTGTTAAACTACCTCACTGCTCTCAAATCTTTCCTTGAAGTTCTCGTTTATTGCAATTCGCAACAAAAATTACTAAAAAGTCCAACACTAGGGTGCCATCTCTTTTGACTTCAGACTGATACCAAAGCTTGCCATCTAGACAGTGGTAGTTAATGGATGGGAAAAAATACAATCTAGATCATGATACGCATCAGACCTGTCTTAAACATCCAGATCACAAGATGAGATGAACCGTACCAAAAAGCATGTATTTCTCTCCATGAACTGCAATGGTCTACCCTGCAGTTCTATAAACATCAACACTGCAGATGCTAAAGTCAGGTGAAATCATTCCACCCCTGTCCTAGGGAGAACATACTTCTTGGCCAGCATCGCTTCCCCGTGCTGTCCTCCTGGCTGCTTGCATTCTGTTGACGTCTAGTTCTGTCGGTGTGCCTTGGGGTGGATTTTTGGGCCTTGCATGTGATTTTTAAAATGCAAATTTCTGAATTAAATCCTAAGTTACTGCCTGTTCTATCAACTACCCATATGAGCCTCATTATCTAAGCCAAGTGCAGTGCAAAAAGTTAAAGCATGGATTGTGAAAAGGCCAAAACATTTCCCATTCATTACCCACCATGACTGGGGACTGTCACCAACTAAACAAAACCAGCAGCTGGGACTGGAAGGGCAGCTTGTATGAAGGGGTCACTGCTTGTCCCAAAATGCCGGGGACTGTTGAGGAGTCTGAGATGAACCCTAACGTATCTGGCAACACCAGCCGTGTGCAAGCTAAGACTGGGGCAGAGGGGAATGTAAAATCATCTAGTGCAGGTAGGGACAGATTACACCAAGACAGAAGTGCCCTGACAGGGTACCTGGGTGCTGGCTTCATGCAAAGGACCTGCCCCTCCTTGCAAGAAAAACGAGGAGGTTCCTGGCCCACCATCCTGCCTGCTGCCAAACTATCCTAGCAAGTTTGAGAGGAGAGGGATGTCTGTAACGGAGTGGCTTTTGCAGTTGCCTGTTGCAGCATATGATACAATGACAGAAGATATGCAGGACAGCTAATCCATAATGAGTATGCCACTCTGTCAGCAACAACTGATCTTATTAGCAACTGTAAGGTAATCAAAGAGGATACGTACATCAGTTAGACACTTGATTTAAGGTAAAGCCCTTATGGAGGAGATGTGGGAATGATCCTGCTGGATTTGTTCAGCCCTTTTGGTTACTGTGAAGGTACAGAGTAAGGCCAGCAAATTTGGGGTCTCATATAGATTAGCAGCATGGGAAGCAGCTTCCCCTACCTCTTGTCCTGAAAGGATCAGGCAGTACTTTTAGTTGTTTTACAAGGAGGGCGAAAAGAGCACAATCCTACACGAGGACTCCTGGCAGGTATTTCGCAGCTCTGCACTCTCCAAAACCTAAAACTAGTTTTGTCTGGTTGATGCAACCAGCCTGAAGGATTTGGCCCAAGTCCATGGTCCACCTTGTTGCTGCCATGCACCCACAAAGCCAGCAGACGACAAAAGCATTTAGCTGCTCTCACTTTCCTTAACAAGATCTTTTCAGAGGTCTGCTCCCAAGTTCAACCCTCTATGCAGAAGGCATCTGGTTCCCAAGCAAACAGCTGCTATATAAAATCTTCCTAGTTTGCTTTTATGAAGTGGTACACAATGAACATATATTCTGGTAGCTGTACGGCATTTTCTTGTGTTATCGTGGGCTGGCAATAATTCTAAGGAGACCTAATTCCCAGGAGGCTTAATTCTTCCTCCACCCTATCCCTTGCTTCTGTCCCACCAATTTGGGTCCAGTTGCTTATGAAGCTCAGCACAGCCTGTGACTCCCCAGGGCACGTGGCTCACCAAAGACACGTAACTTGGGAACCCTTCTCCCTGGAAAGATGGGACGATATAGGCTCTGTGTTGAGCACCAAAGGGAAGAACCACTAGAAGAGCCAGGCCTGAGGAAAAGTCTGAGTCAAACATCTACACTGTCGCATTGCTAATTCTGCATGACTTCAGGGCAGTTGGGAAGAAAGCAAGGTTCAAACGCTGCACTGTCCCTGACTGTATCCAGTGGCAATTTATTCTCTGAATATTCTATGACATTCCCCACTAGTGCTTTGGAAATGTCTCTCTGGTGACTTGCAAAAGGTATACATGTTGGGACCATCTGATGCTACAGCTGACCTGCTCAGACCACAGCTTACTGTGCTGCTCAGGATCATCCCTGCCTCATTGTACTCTCTTTTCTGTCTGTATTCACCTGTTTCCCATCCCCAAGTTCTATTACAGAAAAATTCATGGGTTGCAAGACACCTTTCTTCAGTCTGCATACTGGATAACAGGTAGGCGAACATAGCCAAGTAAATCCAAAGCAAATCCAACAGATATTAAATTATAGATAAATGTCTATGTCTGACAGCACATTCAATAAATTTAAAAAGCAACACTTCTGGAACCCAGGTGGAGTGTTTTGCACCAAAAAAACCCCCCAAGAATATTATTTTGGCTTAGACTCTAAAATTCAAGTTATGGATATTACCATAAATATGTGGGTCTTTATCTACTAGCGTTACTAGAAGCAACGGTCTCAAAGACACCATCACTGTGGTACTGTGAGCTTGTATTTACTTTCTAGCAATTGCCATTACAGACACACCATTGTAATTAAGTAATTCAATTCGTTACATATTCTGGATAGAACACGGTAGTTATCAGTCATTTAACCATCCTTAATGCTCTAAGTCATTAATCTCGAACTTGAGCTAAGCAGTCAGAGAAGAATAAAAAACCTAACAGAAGTTCACACTAGTGCAGTGTGTAAATAGGAAGGCAGCCTTGTCCAGATGTTCACATCGGCTGAGCTGCTCTTGTTGCAGTCAGCAGACACAGAGCCCACGGCGCAGGGTAGGGTTCTACACTGAAGCAACAGGTGAAATGATGAAAAATTTGAGCATCCTCATTGGGCACCCTCAGCTTGCACAGAAGTCACAGGAAACTGCCATTTCTCTGGTTACAGCTCAAAGGAAAACATAAAATAGACTAATTACATCCATAAAAGTCTTACATTTGCAACAAGCACTCTCAGGTGCATTTCTGCATCAGGTGCATTTCTGCACTCTGCAAGTATTCCTGCAAATTATCTGCTCTTTGCATGAAAAAAACCTCATTAATTCTTTTAAGATGCATCTGAAGGGACTATTTGTCTGAACAGACAGGCCTCCTGGGAGCTGGGTGGGGGTGCGCACTGCAAACCACCAAGCCTGGGGGCAAAAGCTCCCCCCACATCCAGGTGATCTATCATCCAACACACAGTGAATTAACAGCAATAAAAGTCCAAGTGCAGCAGGGGAAACGAGCTCCTCCCAATTACCCAGAGGGTGGAAAAGGCTGCCACTGGTGTTGATGGAATTCTTCCTCTCTAAAGTGTAATTCTCAAGTTATTTGGTCAAACAGGCAAAACTTACTGTTTAGTGAATAAAGGCCTACCTACCCATATTTCACCTCCCAATAAGAACTCACCTGCCACCATTCAACATGCCCCCAGAAGCAAAAAATTAGTAATAATTAAAAGAATCCAAGAAATATCACCACTAATCTAAAAAAGTCAAAAGACTCCAACACCTCTTGTACTTTGCAATGGGCCCAGTTTAAAAGATATCCTGATTCAGAACAGCGCTTAGACACATGCACAAGATGGACTAACTGACCTGACTCAAGATTGGATTTGGGTCTTAATACCCTCAACGAAGTTGCCAGCATTGCATTACAAAAGAAATGCATTAAGCTGTTTCAGGCTGAATCATTGCATAGCCCCACAAATACACAGACTATTTTGTAGTAACTACTCAGGAAGAATCTAGCAGTAGAAGGCACTTCCATGTTGACTGAAATGTATTCACACAAACATAAAGGATTGCAAAATGCCTGCCAATTGCATTGCATTAGCTGTCAAAATGCTGCAGGAAAAGGCACAAGGGAGCTCAAATAAGGTAAAAAGCAACATTCAAATTTTAGCATCTGAAGGAACAAAAAACATCCTGACGTACATTCCAAACTCTCCTTCAAAAGCACAAATGCCATCAGAAAAAGATACTACATACATTTCTTTTTAACTGAAGAGGAGCTGAAATTGC